TTTCTTTTACGGACAGTTTACTTGACTGCAAGTTATGTAGATACTACATAACTTGCAGTCAAGTAAACTGTCCGTAAAAGAAAAAAGATTGGTTCTAACCACTTTTTCACTGCGACAATTAATCTCGCAGTCGTTTTTTCGGTTCTCGTTTTCTGCGTTTGCCTCCACTATTAATAAAGATCATTTTCATATTGTTCTAACAAAATTTTCCGCAGCACATCTTTTAAGAACATAATGGAGACGTATTCTAACAATCACCAGTTGGTATTATTTGCGAAAGATGATCTAGATGTACGACTGTTGAAGAACTGTAGTAAAATTATGACGGATTGATTAATTCGAGCACATCGAGGCAATGTTTAGTGAACAAGTTGAAGAAGATAAAAATTGGCGTCTATTCTCCAATCTTCATCGTCGATCCGTCCGAAGCGACTATAGAAGCCCGTATAGTTTATGTTACTTCTATATTCAAAAAAAAAAAAAATTATTACTTACAAACCTGAATGGCTTTTTCGCCAACACTGAATAAAAGTGAATATGCATTCAGTGCTTCCAGGAATGATGTTAAATGTTGTGCCACTTTCGTCAAGGACGCATGATCTGAACAAGTTCGTACAAATTTCTACAAAAAGCATAGCCAAGCTTTGTGATGTAAAACTAGCAGAATGAAAAAATGAGACTTCTTCCTCCGTCACTGTTTAACAACTGATTTTGTTAAGTAAAAAAGCAAGCAAACAAACAAAAAAAAATTGGTCACCCAAATTCCTTTTAAAAAACTCTAAAATATGTGAATAGTATTTAACTTCCGCTAATGCCGGACTCGATTTTAAAACTTTTTCTTTGAAATTTTCAGAATTTAACAGATGCAAAAATAGTGTCAAAAAAGCTTTTTTTGAAGTTTCATTAACAGTATGTTCTGAAACTATTAGCTATATAAGTTCCTATGATTCATGAGGTCTCATTTCAAATGTCAGAGAATAAGCCCACACGACGTACATCATTGGTCCATCGTAATAAACTATGCGCGAAAAGATTGCAGCACAGAGGAGTTCATCCAGTGATTCGGCTGATGACACAGTGTAATGGAGAAGGTGACTGCAGGTTGTCCGGTCGACTTCCATAAAGGTGTGCTAAGCTTTTGTGTACATGTTTAAATGATGCATCACTAATAACATGCTTCTCATCAACATTTCATTTCTCTGTTTCCTTGCTTTTTAACCACTCTTCTGCTGAGATTCGAGCAGAAATTTAAAAGTGTCTTCATCATTTACAAATACCTTTCAACTTAATCACCGCAGCAGATTCATTTATTGCACGGAAGCAGCTGGTAAATCTTTTGCCAGAGCAATCTGTATAGGATCAAAAAATATGTAAAAAAGACAAAATGGAAACATAAATGGGTAACAAAAAAAAACATAAATAAGTAGATAATAAAGGAAACAATTACACTTTAGAAATCCGATCCGCAAAGCACTTTTTTGCCAACTTGGAATGACGCCAACAACGTGGATTTTCGTTTCAGAAACTTGATATGGCTGTTGGAAAAGGTGATTTCATAAAGTTTGCCGTTTACGTGTGATTGGGATGTTGCAAAAAGTTACTGCATGGTCAAACGGTTTTTCGGAAGCTTCTCAATATTCTTGTTGTCACTCATAAAAATAATAAAGCTTTTGAAATAGTTGGATCAACTTTGACTGTCTTTTTTTTGCCTGCCCGCAGCTATACTTTTATCACTTTGTATATATACATATTACTGAGGTCCTTTCCCCATATAAACTCCTTCTGTTGTCTGTTTTCTTCAACACAACAGGGTAGTTATTTCTTGGCATTCAAGCTGCACGAAATGAAGTATATTTTTTTGACTCTAATACCTCGCACTATATCGGCAACGGCTGGTAGTTTCATGAAAACATACGTGTGCAAGAGATGTTTGTAGCTCAGTGTTATACATCAGATATTTAGGGTCGGTTCGCGCAGGTTTCTTAAGAAATGTCAGTGATGATTAAGGTATATTCAAGAATTTTATGAAAACTTAGAGAAATACGAATTTTTTCTCAGAGTAGAGTATTATAGCATCAGTTAAATTTTCATTTGTTACTTTTTAATACTTTCTAAAATATGCTAATGAATAGGCATGAACGATGTAACATTAAAGAACCTCATTGAAAAACCGGATAATTTGTGTTCAGTAATAGAGTGAGGATTCGGTTTACGATATTAACCGTGAGACCATCGACCGAATTTAAGTTGCATCGTTCGAGCAGTAAGTAACGCAATTTACTTGATGTTTTTTGGGTTTTTGTTATGTGAAGGATTTGTGTATATGTAAAAATACTTCGGTTGGATGAGGGCGCTTTGCAAGTTCTGGTTCCTCCTGATGCTGATCTAGTAGTTTTATTGATAATTTTAGTGGGAGAACACGATTCTGTGAATTCAACATTTAGGGTCAGTAGTATTCGTCGTTTGTGTTTCCTAAGAAGAAATCTAAGACTACTGAATAGCTCCGCTTTTCTTCACTGGAAAACAGAGGACGAACCGAGGTGTAATTTTCATAATGTTTGCTGAGTATTTGTCAGTACATGCGAAAACTTAATAACGTCTCGTTAGTATTGTTTATATTGATAGTTGAATATACTTTATCTTTACCGCCGGGACGTTTCAGACGCAGCCTTTGAAGTCATGGATAATAAAGTTCCAGAAAACAACCAGATTTTAGCGCCTATAATAAAAAGTTCAATTACCGACAGGTTTGGCTCGATTACGAGTCAGCAAGGTTGGTTTTAGTGTTTTTGAAGTTGGCTTCGCAAAGCAACCTCTTTACTGATAAACGGAATCTGGTATAGAACTTTTCTGATATTGGTCATTCCAGTTTTTTGCAGTTATTCTAGGTATTGTTCCTAAGTTGTCTGTAACATTTTGACCGTTTGTTTGATCTTAATACCCAACAGTAATTGCCAGTTAGTTCCAGAAAAGTTGGATTGATGATTAGATTGTTTTCTTGTATTATGTAAAACTTTTATTTCATTCCTTTAGTTGTGTTCGATTCTTTTATAACTTTTTTGATCGGAATGATTTATATGTTATATGATCTCGTTTTTACTTTTCTAAAAGGCAGAGTAGTCATTAAAGTTAAAAACATTGTCATGCTACAGCTTTTTTTTTATTTGTTATGTTTTCAAATATATTTACAAGATTTGTCAGTAACGAAAAATATTAATTTTACAGGTGAGACTTGATGTCATTTAGTAATACATAATAAGTCGAAAGGTCTTACAAGGTGTTCATTTCTGCAATGCTTTTTTGACTTTAGGACGACCATGCGGCTTCTTTGAAGCACAGTTTTATTCTTGTATGGAAGCCTTTGGAAGCAAACTGGGAAGGCTTTACTGCGATCTAGAGCATCGGGATTATACGGAGTGTCTTACACAGGAAAAGTCGGTAAGATCTGCTGTGGTTCAGCTGTAGCGACTAAGCTTTTTTTTTCTGGAATTTTTTTCAAGTTTTATGGAAAAAATCAGAAGCCAAAAAACTACTTGAATCTACGAGACAATTACAAATAGTGTGGAGACTTACCTTTAGTTTCCGTATAGTAATAGCGTTGGGTTAGGTGGCTCTTTGTCTCACGATGTAGTTTATCGTTGTCTCAGCTTCTTTGGTAGAATCCGTATGAGGAATTTTTGTTCACGCAACAAAACAGTTTCGCACTCAATTTATTTTTGCCACATACCTTCAGAAATGTTAGGAGACGATATCACTGACTCTGTAGGTGAAAAGAAGATACAGTAGTGCTTTGAGTATTTTTAGTTATCTGTTTATGGATTTTCTGCCAGTTTTAACTTTTTGGAAGTTATGCTATAAAAAGCCTTTTTGAAATGGACATCTCTCAACGTTTAATCAGCGCTATTTGAAGTGTTTAAATGACTGAATTAATAAAGAAGTTTTTAGTAAGCTTACCTTCACTTTTCTGCTGTTTTTGTAACTTGCATCCTGTACTGCTTTATGTTTATATTTTGAGCTGATTACTCATCAATTACTCATCTTTTGCCTTACTTGCTGTTCTCACGCATTGTTATTTTTTAGAAAAAACGATGGATGGCTATTCGTAACGAACGACGTAGAAAGTTTTGGAAGGGCGAACTGGATAAAGCTTTCTTAGATGATCATCCACAACCCGGAGGGTATGAACCGGATTATTTCTCATGGAATCGTGTCAATTAGTTCATGATTGAGTGTGAATGTTTGGTGTAGATTACTAGCTCTATTTCATAAACATTTTGCTGTCTATATTGTACGCATTTGCTCACATAGTTTCGTATACTAGTGCCATACGTGGTTCTTTAGATCACTGTGCTTATTGAATCCGCATTTATTCTCTCTGTTGGATATGCGTATGTACGTAGTAAACCTTGGCGAATTCATTTGAGTGTTTTTGCTTTTTTTCAATTTCGACTCGAGTTTCTACAGGTAGCCAAGTGACTCTGCTATACTAAGTTTTACAGTCAAATATGGGGGATGATTTTGATGCAGTGAAGTTCAGTAAAGTTAACGTGCTTAACTGAAAGTAAAAAGTCTGTGGTTTTTGGTAAATTGATCATATTTTTATTTATTACCGTTGATTTGTGCGAAATCTCTTGGTGAGTGGGTATGCGAGTTCCGTTTTAAAAACAGGGTCGTCAAGAGTCATTCTGGTTTTATTGCAGAGCAGGATTTATGTTTAGCGCAGGAAGTTCCAAGTTTGAACAGTTTGGACCAGGATGGTGTCGCAGAAGGCGTCGTCGTAGTATACATATAGTTAAGATGCTTCAGCGCAGAGAGTCTGGTCGTAGGAAACCAGGTACAGTTGCTGTACCGGTAATTCTTTTTTACAATTTTCTGAGTTTTGTTAAGTTTTAGTGTTTGCGTCACTAACTTAGATGAGTAGGCAGCGGTAGGGTTTTTACTTGAAAAAGAAGAGGGAGGTTTTAAAAGTTTGAATCGAGTAGACGTTTGAGGTTAAGTTGGTTGTAGTATAATGGAAAGGATCTTTTGTTTTTGAGGTGGATTTGTTGGATTTGATCCGGCTGCAGTGGTGTATTAGATTTTAGGAACTTCTGATATGGATAGTTGCGATAAAAGGAAATGATGTACTCTTCAACGAGCTTAGAATCACACTTGTTGCGGGATGATTAGGAGGTGTTGTAGTAGGGACAATGGTCGCTAGCCATACTGTTTCCAGTAATGTTGTTGATTGATTTGACAGTGTTTTAAGCCAGCCTCGTGAGGCTACTTCAAACTGCTCCATATTTATTAGTCGTTTTGCAACACCTTTTTAACTCATAACAAGTCATTCGCAAATAATGTTATATAAGGAAATGAGAATACACTGAACTGTTTGGAAAAAGTTATTTTTGAAGATTTTTTAGGTAGAAGCTACTTGTTGGGGTAAGAAATTTTGCGGGATATCCTCTGAGTAACTTTCAAAGAACTTTTTTGCCAGTGGGAGCTATAAAGGGAGTCACATGAGTCTTGTATGCTTAATTGGGAGGGTATCAGAATTTGATAGTGGTAGAGGGGAAAACCTAATTTTTCTTTTTTCTCAACTCAGCAAAAACTTGGTAACTGCTTAAAAGGTTTTGGAGTAGGTTAAATTATACAGTTGGAGGTTGGAAATTAGAAAGGTGGTGAGATTACTTCAATAAAATGAAGGGATTAAAGCGAAGTTTTTATTTGAAAGGAAGCGGCAAATCAAAAGTTTTGGAAGAAACTTTTAGAATGCATGTAGCTAAATAATTTCGAGTTTTTGCGAGCAACTTTACCTTCAACTAATCATCCATCTTTTTCTTTTGAAAACTGTTGTGAGTAAAGACGCAAGCAGCTTTGGTCTTCTTTTAGTTCAAACTTTTTTTGGAAAACATGAGAACACAGGAAGAAGAGAAAAGTGATTGCGGAAAAACTGCTTTTTCTTGTCTCATAATTTGAAAATCTCGACGACTGATTCTCTCTCTTCTCATTCAACAACTCCTCATGTGCCGCGGTTGTAGTTAGGAGAATGAAATTTTTTATTTGCTCAGCTGGAAGTTCACCATGATAATGTTTTTAGGTACAAACTTCTTTTATGGTGCTCGAGAGTTTTACCAATGTATCCATCCTGGTCGATCGATTCCCTCTATTGATGTCAATGTTTCTGTGAAAAGGTAAAGTTTTTAGTCAGTCATTACTTTTCAGAGGTGGGTCACCACCACTTGTGTTTTTGGGATGCAGTAGTCTTTTCAATATAAAATACTTTTCAGTTTCACTCACTAGTCTTTTTAAAATGGCTGTTCTTCTGGCCTGACACTGTTACTAATTATTTTCTGATTCACTTTATCTACTTTTATTTTTTTAAAAAGTTTCACAAGTCTTTTGTTTAACGGTATTTATAAATTAAGGTTTTCTCCAGACGGAAAGTATCTTGTTTGCTTCCTTTGTGATTATCATACGGTATCAGTTCGAAATTACGTTGGTTACCATAAAGTTTCCACTGCACCATCTACAAATTCATTGTTTGATGTAAGGACTTATTTTTCATCAAGAAACAGTCGTTTTGTTACTTGTTATAAATTGGTAATATTATTTTTAGGTTGTCTTTCCTGAGCGTTTTTCACTGAATTTGTGTCTTGCAGCACGAGAGGCATCGCTGCTTAACTACAATTGCGTTTTTTTCACCCAAGACTCTAAATATTTGATTGGTACTTCCTGCATTGTTATTTAAAATGTTTATTTATTTATTTATTTTTCTTTTTTTTAGAATAGCTTCTTATGGGTCTTTGCACGAAATGAGTGTAAATTGGCGCTATGGCTTATTATGACATTTGGTGCTAAGAATCTTTTTGTACCAGAATTTTCTGAAATTTTATTTTTTATAATTGTCTGCATTTCAGTGGCAACAGAAGCTCAGGTTCCAGAATATGTTCCAACCATCTCTCAAGTTTATCTTAACAATGAGTCACTGCAGCCTTTGTCTTCTCAGTCCTTGAATACTGTTTGTTTTTATTGCATCAATTTAGAGGTAATGTCCTTTGAACTTATTCAGCTTCTCTTCATCTTCTTGAAGTTTCCTGCTAGCAGTTTTCAGGTCGGTAATGTTTGTGACACGTTCACTTTGATGGTAGATCGTGTATGGGTTGCTCACGGGGTACATCTAGTTGGAAGAATAATGGCAGTTCTTTCTTTGCAACAACAAACTATTCATATCATGCAAATTAGTGACGATGGCCATTTTACAGCACTAAAGCAACTAGGAAAGTTCGTGTTTCAGCGCTCCTCTTCAATTTTAAATTTATTTCAGTCAAAAAAAAAAACTCGAGACAGCTTAGAATTGGTTCTCCGTGTTTCATCATATTCTAGGAAAATGTTTTTCTTAAATCATTATTCTTCTGTTTAGAGTGTTGTATGAAGATGATAGTTATCGGCTGGCAAGGTATGGTGGGCCACAGGGTGAAGAAATTGTACTCACAGGTAAAAGGAAAATGAAATTTTTAAACCAAAAGATTTCTAGATTAACCGCGTATCATAAATCCAAAAATATTTGTTTGGTTCAACCTGGACCATTTTCTTGTTAAACTCAGAAATTGAAATTCTATTTTAATAGCTGCTATATTATTGGTTCCATTGTAGGTATGAAGCAACGTTTACTTTCTGTTCTTTATGAAAAAGCACGTAGGGAAGGCAAAATAGACCAGTTTTTGCACAATTTTGATTATCTCTGCGGTTTTCGCATATGGCAATTGCAGTTTGTGTTACCCGATGTTCTTTTACTTCGTTTTGTAAAGCAAGGTGTGTCATTTCATAAGCCAGTGGAGGACGATGGTGATTTATCTTAACTAAACGTTTAATAGTAATTCATATTTTAGTCGGGAATTTTTTTTAGATGCTTTTGCATCAAATGCTACAATCAACTCTCAACCTGCCATTTTCGTTTTCATGAATTGGAGATCTTCCGAAATAATAGCTGTTTTTAATAAGTACTCAGATCAGTTCCTATGGATTGTTGAAAATTTTTATGAGCATTTTAAAAATCCTCATGTATTAGATAATCGGTTTCCAATGACTATGCAACATTGTATATATGACTATGAAAGGCATTGTCGACTGAAGCATTTCTACGGCATTAATGAAGGTTTGTATCTGCTTCATAATTTTTTGTGGAGCATACGAAGGTAGTTGGTTTCCTGATTCATATTCTACGGTAATTTTTTTGGTCGTCGAAATCACGCAGAAGTGTACATTAGCGTTTGGAACTTGGTATTCCGTCATTCTCTTTTGGGGAATTGGAAATCGTGATACCGAAAGATCTTTTCAATTTTCGCAATTTGTTGATAG